CCGCCGCCATCGTGCGGCTCCGGGCCGGGGGCGGGCCCGGGGCCGGGCCATGGGCGTGGTCATGGGCGTGGCCAGGCGGGCCCCGGCGCGGGCCGGTGCTGCCCCCTGGTGGCGCGGCGGCGGCACTGAGCACCCGAGACCGCTTCCCAAAATTCCCGAGTAGGAAATGGATTATAAACAAAAATGTTTTGGTGGGATACTGCAGGAAAGCCGGAGAAGGACTCTTAGGGAGGAGATGCGGAGAAAAAGAAAAGGAGTAACGAGTGGAAGTTGTCAGAGGGGGAATTTATGTTGGATATTAGGAGGAAATTTTTTGCTGAGACGATGATAAGAACAGGAACAGGTTGTCCCAACACTGGAAGTTTTCAAAGCCAAGCAGGATAAGGCCTTGAGCAACCTGGTCTAATGGGGGTTGTCCCTACCCGTGGCAGGGAGGCTTGGGATGATCTTTAAAGTTGCTTCCAAACCTTTACTGTTCTGTGATTCTGTGATTCTGTAGTTCTGTGATTCTGTAGTTCTGTGGTTACGTGAACAGAAATTACTGGGTAAAACTGAGCGAGTGCCTTTTTTTTTTGAGGTAAGTTTTGATCATCACAAAGATTTCTTCTTAATTAGAAACATCCCAGAAATATGATCCTTTTATACAATTTAGAGCAAGAAAGGCTGGCTTCAGTTAATTATAATCACAGAATGGTTTGGGTTGGAAGGGATCTTAAAGACTATCTCATTCCACTCCCTGCCATGGGCAGGGACAATTTTCCACTATCCCAGGTTTCTCCAAGCTCCATCACCTGTGGCCTTGTACACTTCCAGCAATGAGGCAGCCACAGCTTTTCTGGACAAACTGTGCAAGAATTCATATTTTGTCCCATTCCCATCCACCACAGAGCAGCCTGGTCCATCCCCTTGGCACATCTCCTTTAGATATTTATACACATTAATGAGGTCCCCTCTCAAATGTCTGTTCTTGAGGCTGAACAGGCCCAGCTCACAGAATCATAGAATACTGAAGTTCAAAGGAATGTCTGGAGATCATCCAGTCCAACCCACTGTCAAGGCAGTGTCACCTGGAGCAGGTGACACAGGAACATGCCCAGGTGGGTTTGGAATGTCTCCAGAGAGGGAGACTCCATGGGCAGCTGTTCCAGTGCTCTGTCACCCTCAACATAGAGAAGTTTTTTATCATGTTGAGGTGAAACTTCTTCTGTTTTAGTTCATGGCCATTAATTCTTGTCCTGTTCCTTGGTACCACTGGAAAGAGTTTGGCGCCATGCTGTGAGCCCCTCCTTGGAGATATTTGTATGGATTGATGAGACGCCTCATCAGTCCATATGTTCTCGTCCCCAGGCTCGTCAGGCCCCGCTCCCGCGGTGTCTCCTCGCATGAGGGATGTTCCTGTCCCTTCAGGCTCGTCAGGCCCCGCTCCCGCGGTGTCTCCTCGCATGAGGGATGTTCCTGTCCCTTCAGGCTCGTCAGGCCCCGCTCCCGCGGTGTCTCCTCGCATGAGGGATGTTCCTGTCCCTTCACAGCCTCGGGACGCGCTCCAGCATCTCCGCGTCCCTCTGTCCCGAGGGGCCCGGACACCCCCCTGTCAATCACTACATGTCAATCATCGTGACGGGCGTGNACCGGGGCTGCGCCGATCCCCGCGGCCGCCACAACCCCGGCAGCCACCCCCGACCGCTCTGCCAGGGGGATCTGCGAGCGGAGAACCTCCCGGAGCTCCCCCGGCGGCTGAAGGTCGCGGTGAGGGCGGGGGGGCCCCCGCCGTGAGGGTGCGCAGGGCCACGTCGTGGCTTGCGGGCCGCCATTCCCTGTGGGAAGGAACCCTATGCCTTCCCTTTTGGCTTTGCCATCGCTTATGCGGGATTCCAGCCGTAGCCCTTGGCGCTTATCTTGGCCCTGTCGCCTGTTTTTCCTTATCGGTTGTGGTGACCCTGCCGGCAGGCCGGCCCCCAACCTGCCGGCTGAATCCAAACAAGCAGAGTGGGAATAAACACGGGGTGGGCGATGGTAGGAAGTAGCTTGGTTTGTGGAAGTGAAGCTGAGCGTTGAACTTTAACCGAAACGTCTTTATGCGTGTTTTCCGCCTGGGATTTCCCCTGTCTCATCGCAGTGTCTGTGCCAGGGCATGGGTGCCTATGGAACAGCCCGAGCTTCTGGAGACAGCCTGAGCTTCACCAGCAGCCTCTGCTCACCCTGTCTCTGTGTCTCTGCAGGTGCTGAGCCAGGATGGGTTTGGCTGAAGACAAAGTGTACACCCATATTACAAGAAACCTCAAGAAGTTTGGGACTATCCGAGTGTCATCGCTGGCTGATTCCCTGACCTGCCTGGTCGATTCTGACAGAGTAATTTCCTGTTTTGCTGATCTCGACCAGGCTCTTTCCTCAATGGCAACATAGACCTGTCTTACCTCTAAGTCAGACGGTCTCTTAGACGCTCTCTGTGTTTTTCCTAGGATGAGCTCCTGGCCCGGGAGGAGACACGGGGCAACCAGGCAGCTGTCTTTAGGTTTTATCAGCACCTGAGGTGCCGGAAGGGCTGGGTGCAGGATCTCATCCAGGCGCTGCACCAGAACAACGCGGGGCACTTGGCTGATGAGCTGCAGGAAGTCTATGACACCTGGCAACCTCGACCTCGTACGTAGCCTCATCCTCCCTGGGTGGGCCCCGTGGGGTGCTGGAGGTGGGGATGTGAAGTCGTCTCTGTCCCTGCCTTGACTTCCCAGGAGGCTGGAGGCATCTGTGACTGTCCCAGGGATGACCTTCACTGTAGTGACATGTCTGAAGATGACGGGTCCATGTTTGTAGGTGCTGGGGTTGGTGGTGGGCTGGGGTTCTCACCTGAGAGAAGATGGAAAGATGAACAAAGGGGTGCTGTGGTCTTGGCTGATGTGGGGATAGAGCAGGGACGCACACAAAGCTGCTTCAGCCTCACGTTTATCCTCCGCTTCCTCAGTTTTTCCTGCAGTGATCCGCTTGTCTCTTCCAGGTTCCTCAGCTCCTGCTGCTGCCTCATCCCTTGAGGATGCCCGTTCCACTGGCTCCTCCATCAGTGCCCAGACGCCATCCCGGGGGCGATATTCTGACTCGTTGGCAGGGCAGCCACGCAGAGATGTGCCCATTGGTGACCATCCACCCGTCCTGCCCAGTGCTGCCATCACCACGGGCCTGGAGGCCAGACTTCCAGTGCAGGAATCGGTGAGCAGGGCACGTGTTGGATGGGGACACAAAGGTCCCTTTTGGACTTTTTGACTTGATATGGGGAGCCTGTGATTGGGCCAGGCTGCTTCAGGCCCACCCCAAGCAGTGACTCACTGCTGATCTCTGTCGCATCTGGTAACTTACAGCTTATATATGGCCCTGTAACTGCTCCCTCTCCTGTATCCCTCCATGGGGGTAGTGCAGGGTCTGCTTTTCCACTCCAGGCTTCTCTCCACAACCCCTGAGCCTTGGATGGATCCCAAGGAGAGACCCCAGACCCCCTTCATAACCAGCCTTGCGGAGATCACTGCTCAGGGTTTGGGACATCCCTACGGTCCCAGACCCCCTCATCCCAGTGATTTAACACAACTCCTTTCCTTCCAGCTCCCCAAAAAACTCCCGGAGCAAGAGAGTCCCCAGCCAGTTCCACCTGGGAGCAAAGTCCATGGCGGAGTGAGCAGTGGACACAGTGGAGAAGGGAATCTCTCGCACCCTGCCGGGGCAGTGCTGGTGCCAGCGGGGACACCAGGGGTGGCCGTGCCATCGGCTGTGTCCCCAGAGCAGGGCCGGGACTGGCTGAGCCGCCGGCCAGTGTGTGTGGACAATGGGTTTTTTGGGAATGCCAACCACCTGCACCGCGGCACACCGGGCCTGGCCCTGGGCAGGTCTGTTCCATCGAGGGATGCAGGTGCCACTCACAGCCCCGGGCAGCCCAGGAACGAGCCCGAAGAGAACTCGGATATCTCCACAGAGTCACCGTCAAGGCTGGGGGGGGCCACTCGTGGTGTGGGGCAGCAGCCCCCAAACTCGGTGCCAAAAAAGCAGCCTGTGCCAAGCTCTGGGCACGGTGAGCCCACGAGCAGCTCTGTGGATGTGCGCAGCCCCCTCCTCATACAGGAGCAGTTTGATGCGGAGAAGAATCGCTCCGGGATGCTGCGAGAGCACCCAGGGAGTGCAGGTGGGTTTCCCTCCTGGCAGAACCAGAGAGCCACTGGGGAGCAGGAGGTGTGCTGCTCAGAGCCCCTCACTGCAGGAAAGAAACTGGGATGCTGGAGTGGACCCAGAGAAGGGAATGGAGCTGGCTGGGCTTTAGAGCCTAAGTCTGATGAGCAGCAGCTTAGGAAGCTGGGAGAGCTCAGTCTGGAAAAAAGGAGGTTCAGGGAAGACCTCACTCTGCAACTCCATGACAGGAGGGTGGAGCAAGGTGGGGATTGTGCTCTGCTCCCAGGTAACAAGCAACAGGATGAGAGGAAAATTGTGTCATGGGAGGTTTAGATTGGATAGAAGGGAAAATTTTCTTTTTGGAAGGGGTTGTCAAGCACTGGAAAAAGCTGTCCAGGCCAGTGGTGGTCACCGTCCCTGGAGGGATTTAGAAGCTGTTTGGATGTGGCACTTGGGGACACAGGTTAGTGGTGGCCTTGGCAGTGCTGGGGGAATAGAATAGAATAGAACTATTTCGTTTGAAGGGACCCACTATGATCATCTCATCCATCTGCATTTTAATTTTGTTTTGTCAGTGGAACAGCTTTGGGGTGTGAAACTTCTCCTCTTCTCCTAGTTTGTAGAGATGTGAGGGAATTTTAGCATCTCCTACATCCCTTGCCTGTGGGCATCATAGAATCAAGATAAAACCCTGTCCTCCACTCCAGGGTCTTGGGGTGGGAAAAGAGACACCCATCCCTCCCAGCCCTTTCACCTCTGCCATGTGGGGTCAGCACCTCCTGGCTGGGAAGACATGGAGTTCCAGGAGCCTTAAAAGCCTGTTTCCCTTGGTGCTCCCCAGCCCTGCAGCCCACCCTGCATGAGTTACTTGTAGCTGCAGGGAAAGCTCTGGTGCCTCAGCAGAGCTAGAGCCAGGGCACTGGATCCTGCTCCCTCTTCCACCCCTTCAGCTTGGGAACTGTCCTGTCACAGCTTCCTTGAGGAAGAGCAGATTTCACATTTTAGGCCCCCTGGTTAATGCAACGTGCTTTGTTTTCTCCCTGACAGGTGCTTTGATGGAAACAACTACCCTGGGTGCTATCCCTGTGCCCAGAGACATTTTCCCATCCCGTGACACCTCTGTCAAGTCTCTTACTCAAGAGAAGAAACTGTCCTTTGGGAACACAGCCAGCAGCAGCCCCTCTGTGCCAGCAAAGGAGAAAGTAGGTGACCTTTCCTCTTGCCACTTGCATTTTGTTCATGTCCTTGTGCACTCCCCCTGGTTAGGAGCTTTTCTGTTGCAGTGTCACACTGTGAGCTGGTGATGAGTTTATTCAGGGATTTTTTTTTTGTGACTCTGTCGTTTTCATGTTACCATCCTCACGCTGTATGATGGAGCATGGGGGAAGGGAGTCGAGCTCTCCTGGGCTTTGACTCCTTATTTCCCCACCTTACCTTGCCAGTCAGTCTCCTGGCTTCCAGGTGTTGTTTTCCACTGCTCTCCTCACTGCCTGGCTCCCCTTCATCCCTGCCTGCCTTCCTCCTTGCCTCCCTCCTTCACCTCCCTGTTACCTGTGACCCAACCTTGTTAGCAGCAGATGTGGGGACTGTGTCGAAATGGCTTTGTGTGAGACCTGTGTGCCCCAGGCCATTGGGTGCTTCCATTGACACCCAGCCCCTCTCCTTGTCTCCTAAAGGTGCTCCCGGCCTCGGCAAACCCTTTCCTGGGCACAGCTTTGGTAGGAGGCCCTGAAGGCATGGCTGGGAGATTGGCTCCCCGGGTGAGCTCTGCCACGAGCATCTGGGCATCTCATCGTGATGAGGAGAAGGAGGAGGAGCTTGGTAAGCCGGGCATCCTCATGTCCGTGCCTCAGGGCAGCCCAGAGGTGGCCAGCAGGTGCCTGAGCTCTCAGGAGCCCAGCAAGCCCTGTTCCACCACCTCCAGTAGCCTTGGCCTCAGCAGCGACCCAATCCTGGTGAGCAGGGATAGCCTGAGCTCAGGGGGAGCATTCCCAAGGGTCTCCTCAGTTCATGCAGGCCCCAGAGAAAAGGAGGCATCTGGAGCAAGCAGAGACTCCAGTCCTGCTCCGAGCTGGGACAGCACCTCCATGGGCACCCATGAGGTCCGTGTGGATCATCACCCCAGTGTCCAGCTTGGAGCTGGCAGCGACGGAGTCAGTCCCCTTGGAAGATCCGTGAATTTCAATTCTGGCAGTGGCCATGACCCTGCCACCAGATCACCTCCGGCCAGAGTCTCAAAGAGGGACAGCAGTGGCTTGTCCCTGCTGTACATCCTTCCAGCTGTCGGTGTCATTTCTGCCGTGGTGTTCGCAGTGTACGCTCGGCTGCGGAAATAGCGGATGGGACACCACGACCGTGACGCAGCCGGGGGGATTTCTCTGGCAACAGGATTTTGGTCAACGCATTTGAAGCCTGAAGAGTAGCAGGGGGCAGTAGGGGCATTGTTAAATCTTTTTTCTGGAAGGTTCTGCTGGAAGAGGCCTTGGTACATGATGCTGTTGGGTTTGGGTCTGTTCCCTCCCATTTCTCAACCATCTTCTTGGCTGTAGCTTTCTCTTTCTACACTCCTGGAGGAGAGGATCTCACACCAAAATGTGAGTGATCCACTGAGTCAAAAAGCAAAGCACTTATGGTGATTCTCCGTGTCTTCCTTGTTTTGTCCCAGGAGGCCTCAGGGAAACATATCCTGGTGATCCAAAGGGTGACCTCCAGGTCCCTTTGTGCGGTGCAGCCAGGAGAGGTTGTACAGATATCCTGTGACAGCAGAGCTGATTTTCTTGGCTCTGCTCATCTTGGCTTGAAAATGTGCCCAAGGATGGGTGCAGCAGCCTCCACTGGATGTCTCATGTTCAGTTTGCCTTACTTGGTGTCTCTGGCTCTCCTCCTCCTTCTGGGATTGCTTCATGTAGAACTGACCCTGGGGATAAACATGAGGGTCAGCAAAGAGCTGCATCATACCAGCATTATCAAGGATCAGCCTCATTTCACCCTGTTCAGGCAGGAAAAGGGGTTTCTGATTTAAGAGGAATGTTTCAGGTATTGCCAACTTTAAGGAGACTTGGTCCCACAAAAGGTTATTGGGTGTTTTTGAATTTGAGGCTGGATTTTTGCAGCTTGCTTGGAAGGGTAGCTGGAGTTCTTGCCCTTCCTGATACCTGATGCTATGGGATAGGGGTATAGGAACCTTCTGCCCAGGCTGCGACACAAACAGGATCAACTGCATCCTGCAGGGAGGCCATACCAGAGTCTGAGATGCTCTGGGCTATGGGGAGACCTTGTAGCACCTTCCAGTGTCTAAAGGGCTTGGAACAAACTGGTCTTGCGGCAGAGGGCTGGGATGGGATGCTTGTTAATGGCCCTTCCAACCCAAACCATTCTGTGATTCTAAAACGCAGTAAAAGCAGTGAAGAAGAAACAGCCTGGAGTAGTTACATTGCTCCAGGTTGCTCCAAGCCCCATCCAACTTGGCCTTAACTCTTCCAGGGATGGGGCAGCTACAGCTTCTCTGGGAAACCTATGTCAGTGTTTCACCACCCTCACAGGGAGGAATTTCTTCCCAGTATCCCATCTATCCCTGCCCTCTGACAGTGGGAAGCCATTCCCCTTTGTGCTGTTACTCCAGGTTGTTGCCCAAAGTCCCTGAAGCTCTCTTGGAGCCCATTTAGATACTGGAGGCAGCTGGAAGGTCTTGTCAGAGTCTTCTCCAGGCTGAGCACTCCCAACTCCCTCCACCTGGCTCCAGAGCAGAGCCAGGAGAGTTTCAACCCTCAGAATTTCTCACTCCAGCAGCTCCACATCCACATTACGTTGAAGCTGAAGAGCTGGACACAGCACTGCAGGTTGGGTCTCACCTGAGCAGAGCAAAAGAGCAGAATCACTTCCCTCATCCCTCTGTGTCCAGTAACTTGTTCATCCTGAATTCCTGCCATCAGCACAGCTTCCGAAAATCTGCTCTTCCTGCTGGCAGGGAGCAGGAGGGAGTTCAGCCCTCTCAGGCCTCTGGGGCAAAGTGCAGCCATCACACCCAGAGCTTGGCCTGTGGTGGGAAAGGTCCATCAGCCCTGAATGGCTGATGCTTCTCCCTCCCAATACTTTCCTTCTGCCCAAAAATCCAAGAAGTGCCTCCATAAAACTAAGAAAAACCAATATATGCAGGAGGGAGGTGTTGATTTTGGCGTGTCAGGGCTGCCTTCCAGAAGAGCTTGAGGTGTTTATTCCTTGCATGGTGCTGAAGGAAGAAGGGACAGTCCTTTAAACACACTCAGTCCTCTCTGCCAGGAGAGGGAATGTGGGGGCTGCTCTTCCCATTAAAGATAAAATGGTTATCACTCCGTAACACGAGGGGCAGGAAGGGACTTGCTTTCTCCGCACTTTCTGTAATTCAGGGGAGATCCTAAACCAGCCGCATCCATACCAAGGCCCTCTTCTCTGATGCTTTACTTGCCTGTGAAATTCTTCCCATGTTTTTCCATATATTTAAGCAACAGCTTGTGCGCTTTGCCTTTTCATGTCAGATTTCTCTTGTGAAACAGCTGGTTTGTCACCACCTCAGACTGGGGAAAGCACACGTTCAGATTGCTGCTGTGACGTGCCGGGATTTTCACAGTTGATACGTAGCACTTTAAAGCCTCATTGGCAGGAGATGGTGCAGCAGGGAGCTGCACATCTTTTACTAACAGGCTAAAAAGCCTTTTACTAACTATAATAAATCGGTTTGATGCTTCACACTTGACTTGTTGTGATTTGTGGGATGAAGAGTGGGAGGTTGATGATGCTGTGGCTGGAGGGAATGCTCTGAAGGGCTCTGTTGGCAGTGACACTGAGAGACTGAGGCCATCGGTGCCAGGAAAGGGTGAAAGGGTTGAGGGACAGCTTCCAGACCTTTTGGAGCAAGCACAGGACCTGGTTCTGAGGATGCCCACCATGGCAGGTCTTCCTGTTGCTGGTGGGATGCCCAGGATGAAAACAGGGAAGGTGGTTCCCAAGGCAGCAAACAGCCGAGCTGCACAAGTCTGGATGTTGTTACCAAAGAGAAACTGGACAAGTTCTGGGAGAAGAAATGCTCTAAGCATCTGCAAAATTTTCCAAACTTGGAGGCTGTAACAGAGCCACAAAGAGCTGTGGCTGGAAGGACCCTTGGGACTGGCTGTAACCAGTGGACACAGGGCACAGATGTGTGCTGAGCTTGGTACCCACCAAGGATGCAGCTTTATTCATTATCCAGGTTTTCTGGTTGAATTCTGTCCTGGGATCCTGCCCAGAAATGGGGCACCTTCCCCATGCTGGGCCACCTTAGCCTCTGGGCTCAGATCTGGGGGTGGCTCTTCCTGTGCCCTGAACAGCAGAACAGAGGAACCAACACCCCTAAACCACTGCTCACCCCTCAGTGTGCCTTTTGGGGACAAGCAGGAAGCTTTTGGGAGGGAACAGCCCTTTCCTGTGCCCTCTCCACGCTCTGCTCTGTCCCAACAGCTGAGATACCCCACGAGTTTCCCTCACTTTCTGCTTTCCCAGCTCCAGCTGTTGGAGCCCAGGTGTGTCAAACACAGCAGGGGTTGAAAATACTCAAAGAGCATCGGGCAGCTCAGTGAGTTCCTTTTTTACCCTAATGAAAGAAATGCTTATTTGAAGGAGATTATTTGTGTTTAGAGCTCATCCTTTATCTCCCGTCACTGCCAACCCCATTTATCCACTTCCCCCGCTCACCCAACAGGATATTAAAATACACCAACTAAATTTGACCGATCCCTTTGTCCCTTTTCACTCCAGCAACCAGAATTCAGACAATATTCATGGAAATTATCACACCTTTGTGGAATGTCGATCGCTGATCCTTCAGGTATCGAATTAATGTCTGAGGATTGTGGTGAGCTGGGATTACCCCGGGGCAGGTGAGGAACACCCTGGGTCACCGGGCTGCAGTTCTACTCTTGGTGTACTCTGGGTGTGTCAGACAACAACATTCCACAAGGGAATCTCCATCGCATTACAACGGGAGCTGTCATGACATCCTGTAGTCTGGGAATCTGTGTTTTCCTTTTGAATTTTCATCCTGTTGGTTGTTGCCTCAACCTCTTTATGGTTGCCTCAATTTTTCTGCCAACTTGGCATTTCCTGCTGCGCTTGTTGATAAACGTGGCGTCAAGGTTTCAAGAACAGGGTTGTATCCACACTGGAATTATGTTAGGATGTAAAGGAGAGCTGAGGATTTTAAGATTTTAGGAGGAAGTTCTTCCTCGTGAGGATGGTGAGGCCCTGGCACAGGGTACCCGGAGAGGCTGTGGCTGCTCCTGGATCTCGGCAAGGGTCCAAGGCCAAGCTGGACGGGGCTTGGAGCAGCCTGGGCTAGTGGACGGGGTGGAACGAGATGCTCTATACGGTGCGTTCAGGCTCGCCATGGTGCGTGGCAGGCCCGCCCCACGTCTCTATGCACACTATCTGAATATGCAAATCATATTCAAATGAGCCCCTCCGCGCGGTCCGGCCCAGCCGAGCCTACTGCGGATCTTCCCTTCGGCCCCCGCGTTGCCATAGATACCCAACTGTCAATCACCGCGCCCTCTCCCGCCCCACCCGGCGAACTCTCTCGGTCATTGGGCGGTTGTCTTGTCAATCTCGCTCCAGAGGAAGCCTATAGGCCAGCGGTGCCGCATATCGACCCGCCTCACCCGGGCGCACGCTTCCGATTGGGCAGCTTGTCACTCTACGCCGCCGAGAGCAGGAGGCGGGCCCGGCTCTCCGCTGCCGCTCAATACTGGTCTCCCATTGGCGCATCCTGCTGTCGCTCCGTGACGCGAGGGGCGCGGATTGGCGGCCGCCTCACAGGGTGTCCCGCCCCGCGGGGCCGT